ATCATAAATTCATTAACTATTCATGATCGAACATGTTGGTAAATCAAAAACGTTCCTTCTAACTTCTAGCCATGCTGTTGTAGACTGGCCTTTGTGACCCGGTTTTATTGCTTATATAAATGGACGAGCTCACGGCCAGCCTGGTGTTAAGTTTTTACGGAGCCCATAGATATCTACAATGTAAATGCCGCCACCCACCTTGAGATATGAGTTCTAAGGTCTCAGTACAGTACGACAACGGCTGTCCCACTCTTCAAACCGAAACGCATTTCTGCTTCACGGCAGAAATAGACAGAGTGGTGGACCGTGCGGACTCACAAAACGTCTTACCACCAGTATTTACGCAAATTATTATTTTGCGGATTTGATTTTTACTACACAATGTTTTTCCTTCACCGTGGAAGTCATCCTGAATTAAGTACGTATTTCATTACAAAAGTTGGTATCTGCCTGCGGGATTCGAACACCGGTGCATCGCTAGATACGAATGCACCGGACGTCTTATCCTTAAGGCCATGACGACTTTCAACACTCAAAACGATCACTCTTCGTTATGATACACGGTGATAATAAGAGGCTTAAACGTCTTCTGGATACTCGTATCTCTCAAATCAATAACGACACAATATGGCCAATGCTTTGACTCCACAAGCTTGGTTTGATAGCTAACACCTAACAATGATCGAAGCTGGAAAATGCGACTGTTGTACCCAACTGACTAATTGAGAAACTTCTCTATAACTTTGAACGTCAACTCAACCTTTATTAAAAAGGTGCTCAGTAATTAAAAAGTCTCATCGGTATATTTCTTCCCGTTACGTATCACATAGGAAACCGTTGTTATTTCATTACTCTGTAAATTGGCAAATCATTATCAGTACGAAAAAAATATAATCACTACGGAAGCTTCATTGTAAATCTATGTAAGCTAGTGGTCCCCCAATAGTCGAAATTCAACTATAATTAGTTGAAATTATAAGTTTGACATTATTATGGTTCTATTGTCAAAGACTATTATTATACTTTTATAATCACAGATTTAGCCAAGACTACACTGATAGACAAATAATTATATTAAAGACAAAAAATATTAACAAAGTTAAGTGTTTGACAATAAACAAAGAGTGTACATGTTTATATGTGTTGTGTCAAACACATGGTAGTGTGTGTAATGTTTTTTTTGTTGATTATATGTTTTTTTTTACACATAATTTTAAAGAAAAATTAGCATTCTGCACTCCTCTATATTCTCTATTAGTGTGGGAAATTTAATACTCCTTTACCCGCACAATTCTCGTAAAAAGGGGTACAAATTTTGCGTCACGTACTACGAGTAATACATAGATAATGACGGGACAGGAAATTATTTCTATGACGTCTTTGATATTTAAATAGAACATCACTCTAAATGTCGTAAATCGAATAGTATCTACGTAAATAGAACAATCGATAAGACATGAATATACAATAGGATTTGTAATTTTATTTACAAAGGTTTTTTGCTCAAACGCCAATTGAGTTCAGGGTTCGTCTTTCTTTATGTTGTAGTTACGGAAAATATCGCGAGTGACGCAGTCTGTATGATAGATCAAAATTTAGTCAACTAGATGCTTGACAACTGATGGTTGCACCATTCAATTTACGATCGCAGTCAATACACCTGTAACTGATCTAGTACCAGGATATATGTTTAAAAAAATCCAAATGGCATTACCACCACTAGCGTTCTGCCTATAAATAAAACATATGATTGGCCAGATAGACCCATCCAAGCAACCCTTACTTACTAACCCTGTCGATAAATAAATAATTTGCATAGGGTTCGAATTTTTGAATATCTTAGTTTATGCCCATACGTATATACGTATTATGATTTATTTATTGAGCTTTGCAACGCCCGTACCTTTCCAATTTTTCACATATTTTCTATATTCTTCTAACTTATATTTCGTGAACCTTGCAACGAATCTCTTTAATAGGTTAGTGGCATTTCGTTTGGTACTTAATTGATTTACAAACACAACTGACAGTAAATCAATATGAGTACTACCAACAGAACAGAGTGGTAAAGACAATTTTCAATATTATTCTGTTAACAAAACTCAGTATTGATATTCGAATTGATTGACACGTCCATAGCTTATGATAATACGATAAGAGTTTGTCCGGGCTATACTCAAAGATCCATCCAAAGTTCTCGTCAATCAAACCCCCGGAGTCCCTTTGAAATCGTCGTGGTCTAAAGGATAAAAGTGACATCCGGTGCATTCGTATGTAGCGATGCACCGGTGTACGAATCCCGCAGGCGGGTACCAATTTTTCTAATGAAACACGTACTTAACAAATGTTCACGATTGACTTCCACGGTGAAGAAATAACATCGTGTAATATAAATCAAAACGGCAAAATTATAATTTGCGTAATTACTGATGGTAGAACCTCTTATGAGTCCGCACGGGTATGTACCACCACCCCGACTATTTCTGCCGTGAAGCAGTAATGCGTTTCGGTTTGAAGAGTGGGGCAGCCGTTGTAACTATACTGAGACCTTAGAACTCATATCTCAAGGGGGGTGGCGGCGTTTATGTTGTAGATGTCTATGTGCTCCAGTAACCACTTAACAACAGGTTAGGTGTGAGCTCTTCCAACCATCTAAGTTATAAAAAAATAATAATAAACTTTTTTTTTCTTTTTTCGTGATAGGATATTTTGTGAACTCGGATTGGCTGCAGCAGAATCAAGTAAAACAACTCTGACTGCAGAAGCAAAGGCTCACAATAAACTGGACCCAAGTGGCGCTACGACAAAATTATAAACAGTCACGCCGAACAACGACCGAGGACCGGCCTTGATACAATATTTAGATACGAACGCTTGGGTTGTTGTACAACTACCGGTAATCACCCGGCAACTCGGCTATCGAACAACAAAACCGGATATAGTTGTTGTCGTTTAAACTGAGATATATCTGAAGTCACAAGTTGTTTCTGATTAATTCATATGTATACTGAAGATAGCACGCATTAATGCTGCCACACACATTCTACACCAAGTCAAAATCTTAAATGTATTGTATGATATTATACCATTCAAATGCTGATAGCACCGATGGACATGATACTGGTGGCAGTGACATCGGCATTCGGCTCAAAATATGTCGGATAAATCTAATAATGCTTTGTAGTCCTTCAAAAGTGCCCTGACCAAACTATCCCCATCATCAAAACAGTTCGACTGTATTGCAGTACCAGGAATTTGCGAAGAGTCACAATGATGCAAAAAATAATATTCAAAGACATTCAAAACCTTATAATATTCTGTTATACAGTAAAACTTTGTGGTGAAACCTACGTTTGGAGTTCTTATTAACAATTTCGTTCAATTTATGTCAGTTGCGTAAACATTCATTTGTTAATATAAAATATTCGTGAATTTACTTTCAAAAAAGTAAATATTATAAGACGTTTGTCGTTTCGTATTTCCATAATTAAGTCACCGTTTATTTGATGTTATGTTCACGACATGTATGTATGGGGGCGGACAGGAAGCGTTTAAACAGGAAAATACGTTTCAAAAGTGATACGGAAAAAAATAGCTTATTACATTCGAAGTGGGTTCATTTTTTAATATTCACATATTCAATAGGATCACATTTTTTTTTTAATATTTCCCTGGTGGGTTTCTGTTGGGAAGTTGTACGGTATTTTTAGGAAAGCATATTAAAAAAGTCGAATTTGTGTAAAAAACGGATGTCGTTAGAGAAATGGAACTTTGATGTTGTCGAAATTAGTACCTACACTTTTTTAAGTTTTCACGAGAAGCTTAAACCTCAAAAGTTCTTTGCTTTTTTTTTTAAGAGTTCAAGGATTTTCTGGTAAAATTGCCCTTTTAATTTTGGATAGGTTTGCATTTACTTTATTATTACAACTAGTTACCGGCAAAGTGGAAGGAAATAGATCTCGGGGGCAACGTACGTATTGAACTGACCAGGTTCGCACTAGCCTCGATCCCACCCTCTACGATGCTCCCCAAGCAGCTGAAGACAAGATGAGATGGTGCAACATCGTGAGGACGAAGGCCATGGATAAACACATATGAGAAGTACGACTGAACGAGGACATAATCCTGGCTATTTTTTTCCCTACCTATCCCTGGTAGCTTAAGGGGCTATACCAGCTACGCCCGGGGATAAGTGAGCTCACGGGCTCAACCTGAAAGAATTTTCTAACACTATCCCTAGCAAGAGCAGTGCTTCGCAGAAGCTTTTCGTGGTAGGACCTCTTGAGAGTCCGCGCGGGTAGCTACCACCACCCTGCTTATTTCTGCCGTGAAGCAGTAATGCGTTTCGGTTTGAAGGGTGGGGCAGCCGTTGTAACTATACCTGAGACCTTAGAACCTATGTCTCAAGGTGGGTGGTGCATTTACGCTGTAGATGTCTATGGTCCCCAGTAAACCCTTAACACCAGGTGGTCTGTGAGCTCGTCCACCCATCTAAGCCATAAAAAAAAACTACCATCGGAGTCGAGACCCCCTGAGAAGATCCGGCGAGAAACTCAGTGGGCTCCCAGGCTATATAAAACTGTACCTACTAACAATTTTGTTTTTATTGTTTTAAATGTCAAAGCAGGATTTACTTTTGAGTTAAAGGCCAAAGTGTGCGGCAGTTGAATTTGAAACATTTTATCTAATTTAATCACTAATCGGAAAAAGGCAGTAATTCGTATAGTCTACTTCGGGAGTTCGATCATTATTGTGAAACAAATTTCTTATTCTCCAACACATTGTCTATTGATGAACGTTACTGACAACTGATATCTCTTGATCTTTAGTTTTTAACTATACTGTTTTGAACTTTTTAGTTCAACACTAAGTGTGCACTAAATCGCTTGAATGAAAAGCACCTTATGTAAATTCTATAATATTTCGATTTTAAACGGTAAAATGTTAAGGAATCAAGTGCAATTTAAAAAAATACAAATTAATTAAAATTAAATACTCACACATAACACCACAACTCCAATTAGAAATTGGTGATTACCAATCAATAAAGTCACTAATAGTACAATAAAAATGAATCACGTAATAAAACTTCGAAACACGGAATAAATTATTTATATTAAAGTATTTAATATTTTTTATGAAACAAAAATCTCGAAAATCATTTACGTTTTTATTCGTTTGGATCCGAGATCGTGTTCACGTCCGTAGTGGAGGGCTCGCGTAGCGGCACTGACGCGTAGCACGTAGCAAGTGCTACGGGTAAAGGTATTTTCCCACTCGAAATTATTAGGATAAAATTAGAATATTATTCAATAAAAATTTATTTCATAGTGTCACAGCTCACACTGTTAATTAGCGTCCATTACATTCAAATCGATATTTATCGTTAGTATTTACGGATATCGCAATAAAATTAATGGCAACGTTATTTCCGGAACTTCAATTAAATTTACTAAAATACTATTAAGAAACTGCAACAGCAAACTCACTAAATATTGACAAGAAAATATGTTTTGTTGTTTTGTAACTGACTTGTTGTTACTTGTAATTATATTGACATTTTTTTTTTTATATGACATGACATAATTTATTAGACATTCATATTAATATTTCAACAATTATTACTGTTTTACTTGTTAAATTTGAATCTCAAAGTATGTTTTCATTAGGTATTCTCTTTTTTTTATTATTATTGTATTCCGTCTTCGAGCCGATGATTTGCCAATATTATGTAGGCCATTATTGTCACCTGCATCAGGCCATAAATTAAATAGTTTAAGTTATTTTCAATGTTAAATGTTTGTGATGTGGCAGTACTTTTTTAAATAAATAAATAAAAGAAAATATAGCACATTGACAGTACTCTACATAGCTAACTAGTTAATAAACCTAACACTGGTATTATAATAAATTAATCAGACACAAAAATTCGCCAAAACGAATTGATACGTGCCGTCAACGATTGATTGAGATTCAGTAACAATATTGTCTTTCAATTAACGACGTGCGATACCTTTGTCTGACGCTGTTAGACCTACCTACACAAGAAATTGAACCTAAGTGCGTAAGATATAAAGTACGAATGTTAATGCCAACATAATTTGATAGTATCGCAGACTTTTATTGATCATTCAAATTTAAAAGCGAACAAGTAGGTATCAGTCAACATGGAATATTGATGAGATCTCACAAGAAACTACAGACCAAAACATTCATTCAAATAAAATTATACACGAGCAGCTTATGAACGTTTATTCGATAAAGTATCTTCTTCTTCTTATCAGCCCACAGACGTCCACTAGACATAGGCCGCCCCCAAGCCGCGCCACAAAGACCGGTCCTGCGCTGCCTGCATCCAGAGGATCCCCGCAAACCTCAATAGATCATCGGTCCATCTTGTGGGAGGCTTCCCCACGCTACGTCTTCTAGCTCTCTCTAAGTAAGTCCAACTTCGAACAAGAGGTCAACCGTCGAATCCAGATACCACAGTGTCTCAAGACGAAAGTCTTTGACCAGTATGTGTTGCCAGTGATGACACATGGCACTGAGACGATAAAGTGTACCTGAATTAAATTATTTCGGACTTTTTAATTAAAGTAAAAGAATATATGTAGTCATATACTTCCCATTCAAAATTATATCTAATTGAGTGGGTAGAATTATTCCCTTCCACGTAGTTAAATAAGAGGTTGTCGAGTTCAAGCCTTTCATTATTCAAATTCAGAAAAACATCTGCTTCGCTACGGCCTACTATAGGCACATGAAAATGATTTAGAATTGTAAATACTATTTTAAAATCGGTAATCATGTTATGGATAGCGATAAGCAATGATTATACACAATAAGGTTCTAGTCTGGGTAATTTTTACATTATAATGAAGTAAACTACGATTATTAATCGCTTATATTGCGTTAACTTTTGTGGCAGTATCACAGGTAGTATAAATCTTAGTTTACTGGTGGATTACTGGTGATGGTAGGACCTCTTGTGAGTCCTCACGGGTAGGTACCCCCACCCCGCCTATTTCTGCCGTGAAGCAGTAATGCGTTTCGGTTTGAAGGATGGGGCAGCCGTTGTAATTATACTGAGACCCTAGAGCTCATATCTCAAGGTGGGTGGCGCATTTACGTTGTAGACGTCAATGGGCTCCGGTAATCACTTAACATCAGGTGGGTCGTGAGCTCGTCTACCCACCTAAGCAATGAAAAAAAAAATCTTATGAATGTAAAAGTGTGTTTGGTAATCCTTCTTTCACGCCGAAAGGAAGCAACGAATTAGCATGTTTTTTAAAAGCTACTCTTTATCCCAAAAAGACTTCTCACTCCCGCGGAAAACTATACTGATACTTCACCTTGACCACGCAGTCGAAGCCGTGGCTACCAGCTAGTTTAATTATAACCTATCCTTCGCTATAATAATACTCTGTGCTTTTTTCTCCTAGAAAAACTCAAGCTAAGTTCTTTCAGTCTGTTGTGTGGCCGTGAATAGTTTTTTATTTTTTTTTTATTGCCTTTGTAGGCAGACGGGCATACGGCCCACCTGATGGTGAGTGGTTACCATCGCCCATGGACTTCAGCAATGCCAGGGGCAGAGCCAAGCCGCTGCCTACCGCTTAATACTCTCCATAAGCCTCGTTTGGAGGCTTATGGAGAGTATTAACTCGAAGGACATGTCATAGCGCTCGGGAAACACCGTGGAGGGGAGCTCATTCCATAGCCGGATGGTACGTGGCAAAAAAGATCTCTGGAAACGCACTGTGGATGACCGCAGTGGCTCCAGGTAGTATGGATAAACTCTACACCGGTGGCGGGCGGTGCGATGGTAAAAACGAGATGCTGGTATCATCTCGAACAATTCCTCAGAGCACTCCCCATGGAACATACGGTACAAAATACAGAGGGAACCGAAGTCCCTCCGCAGACCCAGAGGTTCCAAACGATCCGAGAGTATAGTTACGTAAGTTTTTTTTTATTATATGGGTGGCTTATATGGGTGGACGAACTCACAGCCCACCTGGTGTTAAGTGGTTACTGGAGCCCATATACATCTACAACATAAATGCGCCACCCACCTTGAGATATAAGTTCTAAGGTCTCAAGTATAGTCACAACCATAGATTATACACTTAATATGTCACAACGGCTGCCCCACCCTTCAAACTGAAACGCATTACTGGTTCACGGCAGAAATGGGCAGGGTGGTGGTACCTACCCGTGCGGACTCACAAGATGTCCTACCATCAGTAAAAAAGTCTGAGTCGAACGCACGGTTACTTCGTAGCAGAGATAGATTGTAAAATGGTACCTACCCGAGCATTCACTTCTTTAAGCTATTTTCGTTTCCTCCTTCGCGAACACGGATTTGTTTCGATTAACGATTTGAGTCCCGACTAGTCATATTAGCTTCCAATTAGGTACCTAATTTTCTTCAATTAAAACATGAAGCCAACGAAAGTGTCTATAGTTTGGAATCAGTGGATTTTTCAGTCGTAATGACATCCTATAATTTTAAATACATTTCAGTGCAATGTCAGAGCTAGACTAGATCCATTTAAATGTCTAGACTCTGGGATATATGAGCTTAATTTAATAGAGGAGATACTTATTTCTCAGAAGTTATTTTATTTATTTAAATAGGTAGCGAGAAAGCATTAATGTCGTTTGATAATGACAGTCTTGGATGTTGAATAGTAAGGTGTTTCTTCGTTAATATTTGACTGGTAGTACTGTTTATTATAATCGTCCTGGCTCGATCAGTCAAATGTTCCAGTTCGAAGTGTAGACTAGCCACGATTTGATAATAAATGAGATGCGATTAAAATAGAAGGAACTTCTTTGTGTCAGCCGTAGGTAGCGAGACAGGTAAGTTAAATATATATACATGTCGGGGAAACCGCATTATTATGACCATGTTCAGACATCATGGGGGCGAATAGCTAGAGGGTGATCGAGCTAAGAGAAATATTGAGTACACAAAACGCGATTGTTGTCTTAGAACAATTTAGAAAATCTTCTCTTGACGTTAGCTAACAAAACCGAATGACAGTTCTTAGGATGGAAAAATTGGTACCCGCCTGCTGGCTTCGAACACCGTTGCATCGCTAGATACGAATGAACCGGACGTCTTATCCTTTAGGCCACGACGACTACTCTCGGGAATCGTGCTGCGCTTTGTTTTGCTACAAAACTAATGACCGTCTCCGACATACATATCTCCTCCGACATATATAGTTATTTATATATACATACCTATATAATGTAATGTAATCGAGCAGCTGAACAACGCAGCCGGCACATATTTCACAAGCCCAGTTCCAGTCTGTCGTTATCGGAGATTTACGTTCTTTGTTGAGAAAATAAAATTGCATATTAAATAGGCAGTTTTAGATCGTTTTGTTATTGAACAAAATAACAGTATGTCCTTGAATTTTATTTATTTCTTTTAGTTGATAAACATCCAACGAGTTTACGACTAATTAATGTTATGCCGATACGTTTATAATTCTGCTTAGACTAGAACTTAAAAGTAGTGACATGTCTTTCTCCAGACAAGGCTTGCGGAGAGTAGTCATTGATAGATAGCGACATGGCTGGACCGCTGGCATTGCTGACATCCATGAGTGACGGTAACCACTAACCATCAGGTGGGCCATATGGTCACGTCTGCTTACAGAGGCAATAAAAAAATTGAGAATATATTTGAAGCGCTCTGTTGAAGTTTTACACTCCTGGATAATGATCATAATATTTAACTAATTTTTGACTTGAAATTAATAATTGTTTTTAGTGACAGGGCGTATCGAAAATCCGCTCGGGTAGGTATCACACCATTTTACTTAATATTTCCGCGAAAGAGTCATGCATTTCCATTTTTAGGATAGGGCATTGCAATGTAATTAGGACTTCGACTTAGACCTCAAGGGGACGAGTGGCCTTCGTGTGTCTATTGGAGGCTCTCAGTACTCGCAGAATCCTCAATTTAAATATTCGATGCGAACGAGTTTCGGCAGCCGCAGATGGGCCATTTTTCTATCCCTCTATGCCAATTTAATGCTATACCAGACGTCTGAAGGTGATTCCGAGAGGGGACGGTCTGCGAAAATGGGTATCTAACTAATTAATTTGGTTAATCGAGCAATAGACGTCCATTAAATGGCAATTAGATAACAGGTGCGGCGTTCCAATCGTCTTCTTTAAATTATGAAGATTTTAAGC